CTGTGGCCTTTCGCACACAGAAGGTCAGAGAGCTGTGAGGGGATGTTGATTCCCTCACATGGCCCGCTGCTAAGCGATCGGCAAAGAACTTGTCGATCTCTAGTACTTGTTCACGAGGCAGTGGCCACTGCTTCATGACACAGTACTTCGAGCCCAATTTTAGATAAGTCTCGTGTCGAGTGCCTTTGTCCTTAGGCAACTCGCAAGGCACGGATTCAGGTAATACATCTTTGAATTCGATCAAATCCTTATACAAAGGATTTTCCTGAAGTGACTCCCAGGATTGAGACGTGTATCGCTCAATCCGAGTCTTCTCATCGAGGACACTTTCGTCCATCGATGAGCTGCTGAGAACCCGTTCGGTCTCAGCAAATACTGTTGCCGACCGAATGTCGGTCACATACTCGTCCTCTGTGACGAGTATGCAGATATGCTTGACTTTGCCACTACGCAGATCACGCAAGAACCGTTTCGGTTCTAGCGTTGGCAACTGAGTTATCTCCGAAGGTAACTTCGGAGGCACAATCAGATCAAGCGTATAAGCACCTACGCTTGATCCGTCATTAACCAAGACGTTCAACGTCTCGGTTTCTTCCTGGGAGCTTGCTTCCACAGGTTGCTGAGGGCCTGATCCCTCAGCAAGTGACTCTTGAGGAATTTCTTCCTCAAGTACGTGGGGACTTATTCCCTCGACGTCTTCCGACTGTGGCTGTGCAACCACAGTCAGGCACCGATCCTCTACGGTCGACTCTCCAGTCGACCTAGGATTTTCATGTTGCCCCTTGGGGGCAACAGGTTTCTTTCTTCTAAGATGCTGCCCGCTAGGCATGCATTCATGTCCCGGTCCACTCGACTTATTCGAGTGGTGGACCTTCGGCGCAGCCTGTACTTCTGTACAGCCGCCGGGAGCTTGCTCCACAGTGTAGTGATCAACTACACTGTGATCTTGTGCAGTCGTGCTAACGACCGTACCGCAAGTGAGGCCATCGCACTCACTCGCAGAACATCCACACGCTTGTGGACGCTCCAAGATGTTCATCAGATGGCCATCTGATGAACAAGCAGCAGGCATCTTGACGGATCGATGCTGCCAGCTCACTCTTGGCTCGTATTTTCTGAGCCAAGGTGATCCCACGATGACATCAAATTTGTCATCCAGATCTAGTACGATGAAATCATCATCGTACTGCTCGCCCTCTAACGTGTAGTGGATTCCTACTACACGTTTCTCAACGGTTATCGATGCGCCTGTTGCAAGGCGCACCGTCATCCTTGTGAGGGGAATGTCGCGCTCAACGAACTTGAGCCTACGACCCTCTAGTGACTGGCGACGAACAAAGTTGTTCGAAGCCCCACAGTCTACTAGGGCACGAAGCGACAAGTCATTTGTCGCTTCCAACTTCAAGGTGATGAGCGAAACGTCATCACCAGGTGCAGAGACACACAATGACTGTGTATCTGGAGCAACTTTCGTCAAGAGATTTGCAAATTCTCTTGAGGTTGCTGGATCAGTAGGGCGCTCCGCCCCTACTGACCCCGACCATTTTTTGATGGCCCGTCTCGCTGTTGCGGCTTCGCAACAGCGCTGGACCCACGCATATTGCCCTTTCTGGCGAATGGTCGTCCATTTCGCTCAGTACTGTTTGGTACTGGGCGTGGAGCACTACACTCGTATGCGTAGTGCCCTAACTTCTGACAGCGATTGCACCTCTGCAATCGCTTGTTGTTTGAAGAGCGAGGTCTCTCGCTCTCAACATAGCAGAGGTCCATTGGTTCTGGACCTCCGATCTCTTGTCGTCTCGGTGGACGGTAAGAGTTTGAGCTAGCATGAGCCTGTCTCATGCTAAAGTCTTCCTGTTCCGCGGCTGATATCGCATCTTTCAGCGTATTCAGCTCAAGGCGGAACAGGTGGCTCCTGACGGGCCCTTCTGCGAGCCCTTGCATGAACACCGTAATCAACGTGTGTTCATGAACTGGGTTGGCAGTTATACTACTCGCAAGGAGTCGTATATGTTGTGCGTAAGCGTGCACATCACGCTTACCCTGCTTGAGTTTCAGGAGCTCTGAACGAGCCCTGAACTCAGCACGTGGCGGCTCAAACGTTTGTCTGAGCCGGGACTTGAAGTCATCTAGCGACCTAAACACGTTTGGGTCGCTACTCTCGAGTCCCAGGGACCAAGTTTTGGCACGCCCTGCCAAGTGGGTCTGAGCAAATGTGAGTTTCATTTGCTCATCTTCGACGCGACGAGCCCTTAGGGCTCTGTCGAGTACGACAAATCATAGTAACAGGGAATCCTCCGGGACTCCACTGTACTTGGAAATGTCAACTTTCATGACTTCGGAACGACGCGCATGCGCCGTCCCGCCCACAGCAGCATGGAATTGCTGCTGTCTCAACAGCTCTGTCTGTCGAGCACCGAGTTCTCTCAACTGCTTGGCCTGTTGAGAGCCTTGCTGGTGAAGCAAGGCTACTTTCTCCCTATCGGTGACAAGTTCATGTTGAATGAACTTGGCGATAGCGGCATGTTGTTGGTCTCTGTTGATAGACTCCAACATGGCGCTAATGGCGAACTCGCCTACGGTAGAACTCATTCGTTCTACCGCACCCCATTCGATGTCACTCAAATGGGTAAACCCTTCACGCGTGGCGTGAAAGGTATCTTCTTCATCCAACATGTTCATGTTGGATGTTGTGGTCCTTGAAAGGACTACAAAGTGCTACAAAGTGCTACCAGGTGTAACGGGGCACACCCTTGCGTAACTTAACGCAAGGGATTTGGGTGCCCCGACAGACGTACACGTGGCAAGCGAGGAAGCGTAGGTAGGGTAAAAGTAGAACTGTTCTATTAATATAATTAAGTCTTTAAACTACTGTCTCTCTGTTTGACTTAATTCAATTATACTAATATAACTGCATGTATGGTGACGTCTCGTCACCACTCATTGCGCGCGTCTTGCGGCGATTGGTGGGTTGATATCATCACGATATCAACCAATGAACAGACCCTTTGGTCGACCCTTCAATATCACCACTTTGGTGATATTGTTAAAAGAATATCCATCTTTATATTCTTTTTTGTCACTTTCCTTAAAGTGACAATTTCATGTAACGGGCTGCCCCGTTACAGTATTGCAGTTTGAGCAGGTGATTGTTACATACGTGCAAGCTTATACGGGCCTTGCGTTCACAATTTCGTAACATGGCTGCATCTGGTATCACGAGCGAACCATAACGCTTAACCCCAACACAAAGGGCACAGCCTTCCGGAGAACTGCTCCAGTCGGCTGTGCCAGAGTCGCACCAGTTGCAGGTCGCAGTGGCCCCGGATGCAGGTCACAGTCCTTTGGTTTCCTGTCGGGCCGCACACTAGTTCAGCAGGCGCAGTCCTTTGAGTTCCAGTCGGGCCGCAACTTCCATCTGCAGCGGACGAGTCTCCTGGTGATCCATGTCAAGCCCTTGACAGTGGCCCCACTTTTCTCTGATGCTCAGGAAGTACAACCTGTAGGTTGTACTTCTACACCACACAGACTTGTTATTCGATGATCACCCCTGCTTTCCGACGAGATGAAGTCTGCAAAGTTTCGTCGTGATGAGTCCAGGTGTCGTAAGCCATCACTTTTCCGCTACCCATCCATTGTCATCGACAGAGTTCATGGGTCTTCTTGTCGCAGCTATGGGTCTTGTCGAGTCAGGACGCTTCGTTTGGCCACAGTGGCTTGCAGCCGATACAATCTCAGGCACTAGACGCGCTGCAAAGTCAAGTCGACACGCGTATGCTGGGTCTGTAAGTGGCGTGGCAAGACAGGCATACCAGTATCAGCAAGAATCGACTCGGGCGCTCATAGCGATAGACTGGTTAATTCCGCGCTTATACTCGCAGCCTGACTTCAGACCAGGTTTCCGGACCTCATGGAATTCACGAGAGTTGTGCTAGGAATGCTGCGAGAGTAAGTCGACGGAAACGTCTGGAGCCAGTGTGGTGCCCCTTGTCACGCATGGCTTTGTAGCTATGACGGCTGATGAGTTGCGGGAAAAGATGGACTGCTAATGTCACAGTGCTCTTTCGCTCGAATATCGAATGCGAGCAGCTGCACATAAACAGCTACCATACCTGGCTTCCCGGTGTCTTGCTGCAGCCACGATCCCCACCCACGCCAACCATGGAGGAGGATCGGACTGTCTATTTGGTCGTTATGACTGCGCTAAGATGTCTGTATGGATCTCTCCCTAATCTTCTACCATAATCTGTCCTTCTTCGCCTCGCTTTCTCATTCTGCTTGCTCGAGACGTCGGGCTTCACGGGGGGCACTCTGCAAAGGGCACGTGGAAACGGGCATCCAGTCCTGGGGCAGACAGAGCGCGATAATCGCAGAAAACGCCGGGTATTAAACCGATCACCCTCGATAGGCCGCTGGTGCATCTGGACGGTTCCGATCAGAACCACGTTCTAGGCGAGTTCTCTTCGTGGGACCGGGATCCGCGCTAGGCGAACGGGCCGGCGACAGAAGAAGGCGGACGGAGTGTAGCAGGAATTCGCTTGCGCCTCGGGTGCAGGGGTTCGACCGTCCGTCGATATACCCCACACCGCGGGATACCGGGGGATTGCTTTCCTCTCGGGTCGCACGCTGCGGTGCCTCCCGTGGCACGCGCAGCGGAGAAAAGGCCTCCCCCGTTTTAACCTTGGCCCCACTGAGGGTGACTTCCCGTCCAAGGTAAGGGGGCCAGATGACTGGCTCTTAGGAGGTCTTCGTCTCGGTCCGTTGTTGCTCGAAGAGCCCAAATTGGGAAGTGCCCACGCCAACTATGTCCTGATCTTGTGACGTCATTCGTTGACGATCACGACGACTGGTCTGGTCAGCGTCTGGCATGGAGCAGTCTTTTTCTGCAACGCTGCACAGCGCATCGCATTCGGGTCGCTCGAGCACTTGTGTAGTTTGCTCACTTTTCGTTTCGCGCACCTTTGCCCAGTGCTCGTCCCTGGCATACCAAAGGTCGACTGATGCGGGTTTTTTACCTTGTCGCGCCCTTTTTGGGTGGTGCGCTGCCTGCCATCACTGATGGAGCCTCCGGACTCATCGAGCCAGAGGCCACGGTTCATGGCCCGCATGAGCTCGAGCACGCGGCGGCCAGCAGACTTCTCAGGGCGCAAACATCCGGCAGCGAAGTCCAGGAAGATCGAGCTACGACCGGGATTCGAGGAGTGGGCGGCGTTCTTTACGACAGTGCTGAACGCTTTGGCTTCAAACTGGAACACGCGTTCATTGATTTCATGGCCCAGCTTGGGTATGATCGTACACAGCATCTTGACAGTTTGACAAAAAGGGCACTGGTCGCGAGGTTCCGAAGCCTGGCTACTCATTTTTCGTCAAACCCGACTGAGGAAGAAAAGCTCAACGAGAACGCCAAGGTTTTGGGCATTCTTGAACAAGAGGATGGCGAGTTTATGACGGCAATCGTGTTGTCGGTGTCCGAGAAGTTGCTGGGCGATCAGTATCTGGAAAGAGTGAAGGAGGTTCAACGACTACTGTTCGATAAATGGTTGGAGAAGACGAAAAATCCGGAGACCATCAGGACCGAACTTTACAGCGCTCCAAAATTCATGGCGGGGGCTGATGAGGAGTTCGTGGACGCTATTGTAGCCAACTACAAGTGCTACCATGAGCAACAAACGGCAAAAGCTGCGTAAAAGCCTTCACGTAGAATGTAATGTCGCTTTATCTTCAATTGTTGCCCATGCTCATCAGTCGTGCTCTATCCTCTCTCTTTGTCGTGCACCGGCTGTATGTGAAACTGACGTCCACGTAAATCTCGCTCGAGTAATGGACTGTATCAGTTTGACTCTCTTAGAGGCTGCAAAATATCTGCGAGTACGTGTAAGCGTAGAGGTAGCCAACGTTAACATATCGCTTCCCTTGCAGGCAGTCAAGAGCTCGGGTTGATATAAGTATGCGTTACTGCCGTCGTAAAGGCAGACAAGAATCAGATTTGCGCAGGCTACGTAAGAAGACAGCGCCGTCTTGTGCGGGTCCGAGTGTGAGCGTAGCGCTTTGCATCGTTGATTAATTGCAGTGTGGACGCAAGCCCCTCATGGACACGTCAACCGTTGAAAGAGGGCTTTGATTTGACCAATCGCGTGAAATACCGCATGCGTCCGTACTGAATACGTTGGACGGCCGCTCATCAGCTTGCATGATGCCTCACCGCTTGAGCGTACCGATAGCAATACGAATGAAGGCTAATATGAACAACGTCATCATTGCTTAATGTCCAGAGCGCACACGGCTCAACTCCGTCCCCATGTATCGACCATGCGCTCCACTCAGCTTCTCCGCTCTCTTCATGGCGTACCGCTGTGCCTGGTCTCGAATGCGTATAATAACAGATCGCAAGCCGCGAAATTCGTGGACGAAGAATGGTCGTGCAAATGGGAAGTGGGTCTTGAGCAGCGCTGGAGTTGGAAATCCTCGTGACGTCAGGCCAATACATGAGCACGACGTTGAGCCGGAGCGGCTACGTAGATGCAGCTGAGTGGAGTACGTTCAGGAATGCTGTTGTAAATGATTTGCATAGCGAGCTCGCGCGAGCAGACAAATAGGATGCGAGCGTATCATTGGCAGATGTGTGATCGGGGCACCAACGGAGAGGTCATAGGCGCACTGCTATACTCGTCGCCTGCATGTCGATTGTTCAAATGCAGCGAAGAAACATGATCTACGCTTGCGACAAACCCTACGGAATCAGGTCACGTTGTCATTCACTGCCACATGCAGTCAAAGTATGGCATTTGCCGAGGAGAAGTGGGTGGACATGTCGCGGAATGGCACATTGTTGAAAAGAATGCTGAAGAGCGCAAAACAAGTGTGTCATCCGCAGTGGCATGCGCTCGTGCTGGTCGATCTCGAACTGGACCTAACTCGGTTGGCGCTCTTCTCTCCTGCTTGAATCCATTCCTAAATGCACCTTGTGCCAATAGGTCAACTCGCATCACAATCGTAATTTGGAAGTCTCAGTGTACGATACAGATGTGTCAAAATGACGTTTCCAGTAGCTAAAACGCTTATCTGACCTCTACAACGTTCGCTTTCGTCCCATGACGAGTGTCGCGAGTCGCAGCAGTGGCGCGAAGAGCGCACATGGCTCGACCACGTCATGGAAAGAGCACGTTCTCGACAATGTTACGGTACCGGCTGAAGACGTGGGCGACGCCATCACGTGTCTGCTGCACACGGTGCTGTTTACGAGAGCCCCGGGGCCTGTCCGCCCCAGCGAAGCCTCGTGTCAAGCGTTTCCAAACATCACGTACGCGCTGTGCGCAGTGGGAGACGTGGGTCGAAAAGTGGACCACGCGGTGCGCAGCTTTGAGGAGTCGGTGGTCGGTGGAGAAAGTCTGGCCGCCGTTGGTGGTAGTAGGTCTTTGACGGGAACTCTCGGGGGCGCTCTGGTGACCTCAAACGGACAGCCATTGCTGAACTCGGCCGGTGCCAGCAGCACCGTCCGCGGTGGCCATCGTGGGTACGTCGTCGTCACGTTCTTCGAGCGGACAGTGAAGAAAGCGCTGTTTGGACTCATGTCAAACGAGGAGAAGACCGTGTTTGAGAAGTGGATCGTGCCAGTGACGGTCGCATCGTCATCAGCAGCGTCACAAGGTGAGGCGATCACATGCGGTGTTCAGTGTACGAAAAAGAGCAAGCACTGTTGACTCTTGCTTCGGTGTGTAGAGGAAAAAGAGACATGTGCGGGCGAGACGGAAGCAGCGCTACAGAATGCACTGTTGCATATTTTGACGGCAGTACAGAGCATTGAGCACATTCCGAAGGCGATGTATGACTTTGACATCATGACATGCACTAGTATGGACTCGGCTCGAGATGGCAGCATCTATGGTGCAGGGCTAGGGAGCTCTAGTGTGGGCCTCATGGCGTAGCTGACGGATGATGGATCTGTTGTCCGATGGAAATCTGTGATTGATGTTCTGCATTCATCGCACTACTTTCCGGCGGCATTCGTTTGTGCTCCAGTATCAGTGTGCAATTCGTGCCGAGACACCACAGTCCGTCGTTGAAGTGCAGCGTTTAGCTCGACGAAAAGTAGTGTCGTAGGGGGTGAGCGAAAGCTACTGAAATGTCTTTGGTGACTCGCATGCTGTAGTTGGAAACCCCGATGTCGTAGAAGTCTTCGGCTTGGACGTGGGGGTCCTCAGGTACCAATAAGACCATGAATGATCTGAGCTTGAGCGATGGTTGGGACGCAACGCTGTACGAAAGCTACACAGCCATGCGCCTTATCATCGCGTTGCAGAAATCTTCGCTTTGTCCGCCATTTATGTCTCGCGCATCAAGCGAAGGCGAGGCTCAGACTTTGTCGTCTACGTCAGCTGTTGTAACAAAGAACTCGTCAAACCAACACGGGTCCGATCAGATCATATCTGTTGAGATCCATCGGTGTCAGTCTTGCTCTCCTTATACACCCTTGGGTCATTGTGCTGTGACCGTTTACAGCTTCTCCGTCAGTGCAACTCAATGAACACGATAGTTTCACAACAGTTTCACTCGTTGACGAATTCGTTTCGATGCTTGCACCGCTCTTATACAGTATCGCCTTCGCAATACATTCAGTCATTATTGAGCGGAAGGATTCTATTCCTATCGTCACCATTATCAAGCGTTGGTCTGCTGAACTTCGAGACTACACAGGCTGCGTTGATGTCAAGCTCTGTACAGAGAACTCAGAATTGCTTGAGGTCATTCATGCTACGGCCAAGCTCACTTTGCTGAATGAACAATGTGTCAGCCAAGCGATTCTTTCTTTAGCTAGCGAAGCACAAAAGTGCGTTGAATTCGCTCTTGTGGGCAACGAATGCTGTTTTTAGATTTCAAAACGTCTGTAGCCTTTACGTCGCTTACACTCAGCGCTGAGTAACCATTTCTCGAAGGGCTCACATGCTACAAGATGCGTTGAGTTGATGCACAAAGACATGCGCCTTGATTTGGGTCCAAAGTGAACGTCAACGCCGTCGCAACGGGAGATTCGAGCACCAAAAGAGGTCTTGCTACCCCATGTCGATAACTCAAAGTGATCGTCGCAACTATCTACGTGTCTCAAGCTTCAATTCTATCGAGCACATGCTCGCTTCCGATGATGGCGTCACGAGCCGAAGACTTTGTACGCACTGACCGAGGTGTGCTTGATAGCTATCAGACCAATCAACGGTCTGCGCTTCGTCCATTGATGGGCAAGTCGCTGCAGCTAGCTGGCAAGATACAGACCGGGGCTTGATGTTTTGGGCTTGCACACGTGAGCGATAATATGTGGAGAGCATGACGTTACCGAGACGAGCTCTAGGATTGCATCTCGTTTCCTGTAGTATGTCGAGACACTGCTCGTAGACTTCAAAGTACCAGACAGCGTTGTCACTTCAGGATAAACTCAAGCTCAGTGAATTTCGAAACCTTAGTCGGAACTCGAGAAGTACATCCGTAGTGCGAGAAACGACTACGAAGCGAGCTCCTGGCATTTGTGAAGGCTGCCTACAGTTCTAACGGACTACAACAACTTTGTAAGTATGCTTTGGACAGTGCATGGCAAAAATACAGGAAGACATCATCAAAGGAGGGCTTATGGCAGACTGGATACGAAAGCTCTAATGATAGCAAACACGTCCACTTTTTCAATCGGACAAAGCGTTGCGTACACCTTACTGCGCTTTTTTACGCAAGAGCTAACGAGGAGTGCCGGTACACGTGTCTCTACACTGTTATCCGTGAATGCAGCGTGGACTGTGCCAGTAGAAGTAGAACGTGCACCGCCACATTCGAGCTAAGTCTAGCCATCGAGATATGATCCTGAAGTGCTGATCTCGCATGTCGTTATTGGGCATTGGAAACCAACAACACCGCGTTGATTCGCCTTTCGAGCGGGCCGCCAGGAGCCTCCCCAATGCTTCTGGCGGCCTGCACATTCTTTATTGACTCTCGCAGACAGTGTCGTACCATTACCCACCGCTTACGGTCTCATCCGATCTCACCAATATAGACAGCTTTCTCTATATTCGTGTACCAGCGACGATGAAGTTCGATGACGTACCAGCGCTGTACGATGTCTCTGCTTCCGCGGCCTCTTGCGTGGTCAAGCCCAAGTCGCGACGTTTCTATACGTGCTGTGGGTACCTCTGTGTCTAAAATCTGCTCATCTGCGTCTGTCATGCCAGATTTATCTGACGATCTCACTTTAGAGGTCGATAAGAAGTGAGCACTATAGTCGTCGCGTTACCTGCGTTGGCGAAACCGACCCATCTATCTCTTGACTCCTGCTCGTTTCCTCGATATTTGTCGAGAGTATTTTTTTTTTTTTTTTTTTTTTTTTTTTTGTGAGCAGATGGTCTATTAACATGGGTTTAGCTATGTACAAGATCTCTGGTAAATGCGGAGCCAAACGGCCAGCCCCGGTTTGTCCGAAGGGTGGCTTTGGCTAGCCCTTGACATGCCTGGAGGCCCGTCAGGTGCTCGTTCGAGCAACTCGATGCTGGATACTAGCACGGCGCCCATGATGGCTGAAGCCTCTTTTCTGTGCTCTCTGGTCGCAATCGCGCGAAGTTGGCAGACGCATGCAGTCCAAAAGCTCTGCGTGGTTCCGGGGAGGTCGGACACGACTGTGCTGTAGACGGCTTCATTGCGGTCGGTCCACAGC